AAAAAATGCACCCTAAAAATTTGTATTTTTCGGTGGCTTGTCTATTTTACACTATCTTTCATTTCATTTTAATCTGACTTCATTTTAATCTGCCACAATAAATCGTTTGGTGGCAATAAATCATTGGGTGGTAATTAAATGTTTGATGGTAATTTATTCTCGCTCGGATCAAATTTATTTAATATATATGAAGACACACTATGGAAGTAGTGCTTCGCTGTGGTTCTAGGCGCCAATACATATCAATTATTTACATATTTTAAAATATGTACGTACGTACGTACGTAGTATCAATAATTCGATATGCTAGTAACACGTGGCGAATATTAAAGAGAATCGAAGGTAAGTTATGTCACAGTATGCAGCGCATCAATATAACAATAACCTTGATAATATTTTCCACCATAAGAAAGATGGTAAATGCAGGTATATTTTTTGCGCATTAATATCCCTTAAACCGTCCGGTTTAGCGTACAAATTTGCATGCTAACATTTTGAAGGAAGATTGAACTCTAATCTCAGTGGTTATGATAACTTTCAAAAACTCAGGTCATATGGCGCACTCCACATTTACGGCGTGGAACACTCCTTGTGGCCTGAATAGAAGGTATAATTCATACGATGGCTGAAAAATATGCTATTAACATCACCTCAAAAAGCCAATTATGTAAAATTGGTCATGAAGAATCTTTGAAATCTCAATGTTATACGTATTAATAAAAGGAACTTGTGTGTGACGATCGTGAAGAATCGTTAAAAGTGTCATGTGCAGGTTCCTTTTTAGTATTAAATTTGGACATAAAAGTCTTATTACAACCAAAATTAAATAATTAATTTTTGAAAGTGGTGACAATAATATCGTACTGGATTATTACATGGTAACCCACATGCGGTATGCTTTTACGTGTATTTTAGCTTAGAGAATGGGGATAAGGTTCAATAAAATTTAAAGTAAATAGACGAAAGTAAGTCAAAAACTTTTAGCGTCTAAATTTGCACGCCAGATAGTTTAAGGGATAATTTAGCAACCTTTACCTTTTTCATATTTCATTTATGTTTATCACTTAAGCATTAGGAAGCAAGTTGCCTAGGAAGCAAGTTGCCAAGCAAGGTGACTTACAAATAATGCTCGACACAATCAAAAACTTGACACTCAAATACTTAATCAATTCGGATATCAAATAACAATGACATAAATCAATCAGTTATTTATATATTATTGATCTATGATTATTTAGTATCTGACTTGGTCAAGTATTTGAGTGTCAAGTTTTCGTTTGATTGTGCCAAGCATCTTATATTTTCTTATTTCCATAATGCCAGATGAACGTCAGGGGGCAAGTTACCAAATAAGCCTCTAAGTATTACATTTTTCATTTTCTCATTTTACTTATTCCTCATCGCTTAATAGTAGGGAGCAAGTTGTCAAGCAAGACTACTTACAAGTCAGCAAGCAAGTCTAATTTTTATTCATTTTTTTCATTTTACTTATTTTTCTATAACAGCATAATACCAGATGAGTGTCAGAGAGTGAGGTACACATATAAACAAATCCTAAGCACTATACAGTATTTTCAAATAATTTATTTTCTTATTTTACTAATTTTTTATTACTTAATACCAGATGGGCTTCAGAGAACTGGTTGCAAGCAAGAACACCCACAAGTCAGCAAGCAAGTTTCTAAACACTACATGTTTTTATACCGTGAACTGTCATATAAAAGACCCAGGTCTACTTTTCACCAATTTTAAAACCTATTACTAGACCCATGGGTCTCTTGTATGGGACAGGTCTGATAATTGGGAGGGTTAATGATAGCTGAATTACTGTTCATAATGATAGTTGAATTACTGTTCATTACAGTCGGAGATTTTACCAAATATGGAAATTGATTCTAGAACAATCCGTAGGATTTTGATTGGCTCCCAATTAATGATTTTTTCACTTTTTTGCTTTTTTATCATGAAACAGAAAAATTTTGTAACACTAGACTACTACTAATAACCATACGAATCAAAGGTAAAGCGTTTCTAGTTTTATAATCAATCAACACCTTCCCGTAATCAACTCAGTTTAAAAAAGTAAATGAGAACCAAAGACTTACGAATTCGTATGTATAAGTTGTAATATTAATGCTAAAATACTAACTTTTTTACAGTATTTTATACTAGGATCTAACAATGTCGCAACCTGTAAGACCAAAAGCTGCAGATCTCCCTTGTATATTCAGCGGTCTAGTTAGTACTTATCATAAAACACTTGATCTAGAAGTTTGTGAAATAAAAGAAAAGCAGACTTGGTGACATGCTGACACTCAAAAAACAGCTAAGCAGCTTCCGTTATATCATGTTTTTATGCCTGAGCTCACGGATCTTTATCCTTTTTTAAGTTCTTACTCGATCTGCAAAAAACATTATAATCAAGTTATAGCCGTTAACCACTTTTATCAGCAGCTTTTAGGTTATATACACAAAAACAAGAAATCTAGAATCGATACTAATTTTTCAGACGATTCTGTTTCCATTTGTAATTCTAGTGTTTATGAGGAGAGCAATAGTTCTAGTGTTCAAAAAGTTTATGATACCAGCTTCCATAAAGAGGTTTATGACTCAAGTATTCGTGAAAAAATAATTAATAGTGACGAGTCATATTTATTAGGAAATTTTAAACAAGCAAAAGAAATATTGAAAAATTTAGATCAAAAAAATAAAGGGCGTATAACAAGTCTTGCTAGTGAAGTTATGAAATTACGGCAGCAAGTAACAGATCAAGAACAGGAAATCTTAGATCTAAAGAGTCAGCTAAGCAAATATCAAGAAGAAATATTTCAAATAAAGGATCTATATCGAAAGGTTTATGAAGAGAATGACAAACTTACTAATCAATGGAATTTTCAATTTTGTGATCAACATAGACGTATACAAGTGGTTACTGAGATTGCACTACTTGAACGGGAATCTTTATACAAAGATATTGAACTTATTATTAAAGACAATAATAGATTTTCTTTGGAAAATCTATTAAATTACACTCCGGAAGCATGGCTAAGTGAACACAATCAAGTTATTGTAAAGTTTATTAAAGCATTAACTCAGAATAATCTTAATTCAGATCCTTTAAATGCTGAAAAACTTTGCAAAAGGGCCATGGCTGTCGATTTAATTTATAGGTCTAGACACAAAAAATATGTGTCAGAAATGAGTCTTGTGGCATCAGCTATAAAATACTCTATCGCAAGATCAAAAACTATAATTAATATCGATGGCCATATTACTAATTCAGGATCTTATACTCGTTTTCAGAATTGGTTAGGCGAATTGTCTGAAAAAGAAGAACCATTACCTAGTGGGCTTGTGTTTGTGGCATTCGATAATAAACAATGGGGCAAAAAAATTATCTTGACCGAGGATCTAACACCATGATATTTCATATTGTTATCAGTTTT